GGTTTGCTCGGGAGCGCGAAATAATTGGCGTACGGGTCCATTTTTCCACCAATGATGAAGTTTGCGGCAGTTGGCAAATGAAGGTGATACTCTGGATATGCCATTTAGCTATTTTAAAAACATCACTAACTCACCGACAGCCGATCGAGAGAGGGGTGACAACAAAAACTGGACAGCAGCTCAAGCTTCGATAATGACCTAGATTGTATCAGCTAGATAGCCATGCAGGCCATTTAAGCCACTCGCTCACATGAATTTTTTTTTTATATCATCGGCGACTGTAATTGGATGAGGCGTTCAAATGTAGCTAGTCGTAAAGCTCAAAGACACCATCAAAGTATGATGACGTACCGTGCAAGTAGTCAGAGTTCAGAGTTCGTGAGGCTTGGACGTTTATGTGGTGTTGCTTTTTTACTTCCTTAAAAACTGAGGGTGAAGTAGAGAAAACCAGTATAAGATTAAGGCTGAATATAATGGTGGAAATTGATGGGATTTTGTGTTGAATGAGGAAAGGATCGTCATGGGTAAATTTGACCAGCTGTGCATTGCATCTTCAACATCTGTCTAGATTGCAGTTTATCCCAAACACTTAAGAAGTTCACAGGTGACTGTAGCATGACGAACAGTTATCAACCTGTTTTAGTTCTCTATACTCCCAATACCTTCAAATCATATTTGCTAATTGTCTATATGCGTATAATTTAAGCTTTGTGCCTGAACAATTTTATAATTTAATGGTCAATCTGTACAGAAGTCTTTGTGTTCCCTTGAACATCGTGAACCAATTATTAGTGGCTAGTTGCAAGCTGGCGCAGTCTTCTTTGAGATGTTGAAAATATTTGACAGTGCTTACCACTTGTGACTTGCGGATAAATAAGGTATTTAAAGTTTGCGTGCCATCAGTTGCAGCCGTTTAGAGAGTTATTGCCGGAGCACGAAATCAAGTACATATCCCCTATTTGATTTTATCCTTGCATATATGTTGTTCGAATCAAAGGGCTGAAAACATGACCCGCTTTTTTAGTTTTTTGTAATTATGGATACTTTAAACACGCTCCAGATTAGACCCCATATTGCTGACCTTTTCTTGTCCTTTTATTATACCGAGCCACTGACACGCGCTGTTGACAAGCCTTCTCGAAGACCAATGCTAGAAAGAAGGAAACAATATAATCTAAAAAGACAATAACCTAGTCCGCTGTGATAACGAAGAACTGAAGTAAATGACTAAAAAAAAGAAAAACGGAAGGCTGGTAATGTTGCCGCTGTCACAGGTACGGGTGGAAAAGATCCCATATACAATACAATTTGTAATTTGAATTAGACCACTGTCCAGGTGTTAGGGCCACGTACACCTTGGAAACGGACTTCCCGAGAGGCGGTAGAAATTGAGAGCGAGTCGTGCCTAGCGTTACGAACATTTTTTAATAGCAACAAAATTCAAAGAAAAGATACACAGGGCGCACGCACAGTCGTTGACAAAAAAGAAAAGAAAAGAAGGAATAGAACATCTTGCGAGTGTTCCGCTTTTCGTAACCGCCACATGAAAACCACGCAACCTTCGAAAGCGTAACAACAGGAACAGAAGTCAAATCAAAGACGCCATAAAGTTCGAAGTAGGATGAGGGTGCGATCAGAATCCCAAGATGTCGGTGGTGGTCCGATTCCTCGCGCCGCCAGTCGGGATCGAGAAGTCGTGATGTCTTCGGTGCTTGCAGTGTCGAACAGCGCTCACTCACAAGCACCCGCACATTGTCCCATACTCTCTCAGGGCCCACCAACAATCCCGACGAAGCCTTGCTCGTATTTCGACCACCTTCACCGCCAATGACTTGTACCGCATTCCACCAGCCACACCGCCAAAGCGTTGCTTCGCGTGCCACCAGCAACCCTACCGAAGACTAACGCCGCGTTTCACCAACAACCTGCGCGCTAATTTCAGGTTTTTTTTTTTTGTTTTTTGTTACTGTGAGCTTGTGTCCTCGGCGCTCGGGCACCCCACTCAAAACGGAAACCAACAAAAAAAATAATAAGGACAAAAACCCTCGAATTCTGTGACAGCCGCCCAGTGAACCGCTGCTTTAAAGAGAAACTGAAACGGTTATAATTGAAAAGGAGCATGTTGGTAAATAGAAGCGAACACTTGAAAGAATCAAATATAGAGGATGGGCAGGAAACATAACTTATTTCATGTTGGTGAAAGATGTTATGTTTCCGTCCCTGTCCTCTATATTTTATCATTTCATGTATTCGTATTTGAAGCGATTCGCTATTGGAGAAAAAAAAAAAAAGCTTGAATCGTTTTTGTATGGCCCCCGTGACCACGAGTATCGAAACGATTTTTAACTATGACGTGTGGCGCAGTCGTAGCAACATTTCCAAAAATTACGCTAAAGCACCACCTTCTTGGTGAAGAGGGAGAGGGAAAGCAGGTGAGAGAGGAGAACGTGACCTCACTCTCGGACCTCCCGTCACCTCGCCGGCTGCACAGTCTTGCCTAAATGCATTGATTACAAATGTATTCGGCGATTTGTTTATTTTCATTAGAGCCTTGGCTAGGTAAATGACACCGATAAAGCAGCCCCGATAAGGACGGTGTAAAATGGGCAACGCGAATCAATCGGCCGCAAATCGTACTCGGATTTATATGCCTTTTTATGTTTTGTAAGCAAAATGTTTTTATTTGCTCACGTCATAAGAATCGTTTCTTTTTTTTTACACATACAGCGGAACTCTGCTGTTATCGTGACCGCGATAGATGACCTGTTTGTGTAGCACTAATGATTTTTTTTTGAGCGAGACAAGATCAAGAGAAAGTTTCTAGTCAGGAAGTCTTATGTTTAGCACTTTTTGCTACAATTCACAAGGTTATAAATTTATTCGCGTTTCTCCAAATTCTTGGAACCTTACACAGAAACTAAAACAGTTTTGATACTGAGGTTACAAGTGTTATTTTGCCTCTGAGTGTTTTGGGGCTCAAACTACAGATTCAAGCGATTCTTTTAAAAACAAATTAAAACCAAGAATGGTTAAAACATAGGTTGCACTAGGCGCGCAGCAACAGTTAGGGGTGCTTCGGGCAAAAGTTGTAGTATTTTTGCCTGTCGCAGCTGTCGTAAAGTATGCTTACCAATTTAACACAGTTCTTCGGTACAATTTGTCTTTCTCGGGGCATTTGAGGCCTTAATGAAATCCCAAGGGGCCAAACGGGACCTTCTTCTATGTAACTTGGACCTTTTTCCCAATACATGGGTGAAACCCTGGATTCACGGCTGGTGATTGTGCAGTCATATGGCGTCTTTGTGTCTAAGTTGCAATAAAGTGGTAGAGTTGGATTTTCACTTCTGGTTGATACGTCTTCGTGTGACAAATTTGGCCCTGAATTCCCAATCAAGTGCCAGATTAGGGCTTCAGTGCTGGTGCTTAGTTCCATACGTGGCACCTTGGGCTCAGATCTGGATCTTTGAAATTATGTGGCAACTGAAAAGGAGGCCCAAGAAACCCCAAAGACAAGTACTTTTTGCACTCATTACCGCATTAGAGGAGATTTGTATTAGACCCAAGTGGGAATACCCTACGATTGCCAAGCTCGTACCAAGCTAGGCGTTTCTCTGTCGTGAGACGTGGGCAGACTCCTGTAACTACAATTTTATGTTAACCCTAAATTTCTCTACTTTGGGCGTTTTTTTACTGGTTTTAAATGATGGAACAGCACTTAAAACTGCTGAAACTGGAGTGATAGTTAAAGAAAGCGCACGCAATAACTAAGAAGGTTCGAAATTTTTAAATCCGTATTTAACCTAAGAAAGCTGAAGTGTGGACTTTCCCACAACCTGCTTAGGAGAGCCGATCGCTGTAATATACGGGGATAACCTGGGCGAAAGAAAAGGTTATAAATATGCTTTAACAAACAAACAGAAAGTGCTCGCGTTGTGGCATTGAGCATGACGTTCCGCAGTTATCAGTGTTACTGAACACGCCGCCATTTGTAAAGCGTCTGCTCCTTGAAGTGTTGCTCGTTCAATGGCAAGTTGTAGCCCAGATCATTCTTGTCCGTTAGTCCTCGAATGTGGCAGCTAGGCAAGCTTAAAATGATCACCTGACCAATGGAAGAGACAGGAGAAAATAAAGGTGACGATACCTCCTAGATAAAGAACAACGTTGCTGTTTTAGTTTCCTCCTCGGCTGGTCATTATCCCGCACCTAGTGTCTTGTGATATGCTGTAGAGACAACTCCGGTCGAAAACGAAACAAAAAATAAATGATTCGTATCGCTTTAGTGGCACGAAATATCACCACAGCTCAAAGATTAGGAAATATTGCGTCACAGTGAGGCCGAGTGCTGCACACAACCCGATTTTTATAATCCGACCAGCTGCCCTTTAGCGGGCGGCAGGAGGGTAAGCATTCAATCAAGGAACACTGGCCCAGCGCCCTCGTGACGTCATGTTGCGGTGGCGCTGCTGTTGATTGGTGGTACGGAATACCGCAGCACCCTTGTGACGTCATATCGCGACCGCACGGCTGATAATCAATGTTGCCAACCCTGTATCAGATAGTTTCTGTTTTGCCGTAGATGCCCGAAACGGAACTTTGAACCGTGATAGTTATGAAACTATACACTCAATATCAAAAACATAATTGAACCTTGTAACTCAGGACTGTTTTTATAATTAGCTGAAAACAGTCGTAATATAAAATTCAAAAATATTGACCGGAGTCGCCCTTTTATTGGCCCACCATGTCCTGGTGGGAACATCCCAAAAGCTTTTTGAATTCTCATTGCAGGTGTCAGTTGCTTTAGGCAGTGCACATGCCATTTCATGTTCTGCACTCCTGTGAAGTTGTGTAAAAAACATTGTGCGCGTTCAAGCGGACCAAGCACTACTCTATACCGTGATCGAAATAATCAACAACACGTTTTTTTGCGTTTGTATTTCAGTCAATCTTGAAACAAGATCGCGAAAGCCGATCTCTGCATTATACATCAGTCCTGGAAAATGTATTTACTTGCCATTCTCTGCGCTCTGATCGTCGTTCCAGTCGTCATTCTGGTCAGGTAAAGTAATGTGAATACATTTATGGGTCATCGGGAATAATATAACCCCACGCGATATGATAACGCTTTAAGGACTAAACATGTAAACAGCTAACCGTCTCAAAATATTGGTTTTACGTAAATGCTTACTTACAACTAAATAGCTTAAGACTCTTAGCTCTTACATGTTTAGCACTTGTAAATTTCATCATATAGCCTAGAGAAATATTTCGAATAAGAAGTTTGTGAGATTGAGCAATAAGAAGTTTGAAAGACTGAGTCTCAAAATTCCTTATCGAGGCGTATCATCGAGCACATGTAATAAGGTTGACAGCTGGGCTGGTTGCCATTTACAGAGTATACCGTCCTGTGGTTAGCAAAGTGACGACGGGAGGTACTGAAGTACAACATCTACGCCGGGGAGACAGATTGAATCATTGAACCATCACTGACGCTGTTTAGTTGGGAAGTAGATTTCTGAAAGTTGACAATCAGGCCACGGCGCGTTAAAAATATTCCGCTATCAGGGAGCAAGGTGATGGATGCGCAAGCGGAGATGTGGAATGTGGTGTTCTTTTTGTTTATTTTGCTTCCTTTTGTTTACTAAAGTCTTTAGTTGAGAGTTGGCGTCTTTTTGCATTCTTCTTCCCACATTTGTGTTTGCGCTATTTTACCTCAGCTTAAAGGAAACAATTTCTGACTTCATCACAAAAATTTGATGTCAAATCCGTCTCCCCACCAACAACAAAAAATATTTTGCGTCCATTTGGGGAATTTTTCTGATCTCCTGACCTAAAGTATAACCGGGAACTTTTTTTTTGTTTTGTTTTGTGACGCAACATGAATTCTTGGATGTGGATTTTCTGAATATCGCATCTTATTGTACAACCGAATTATATAAATTTGTGACTTGTTACGCTTCTTATATATGTTGCTTGCTAAACATTCTATAAAAATATAACCAAAAGGGGTACCTACATTTCTTTACTTTTTAATTTAAATACTCTTTCGAGCGTGTAGTTCACATAAGATAGTCAAAAGGAAATAACTTTTTATCACATTGCATACAAATGTGATAACATTTTTTTGCCAATTCAGAAATAAAAAAAGTCGGAAATCAACTTAATCCGGGAGTGAAGTTCTCCCTAGGGGAAAGTTTTATTTATATTAGAAGTAAACATGAGAAGACTTGTTATATTTCCGCTGCTATAGAAAGTTGTTGACTAAATTTTGTTTCTCTGTAGGTTTAACACCGAATGTCATAAAAATCATCGCCTCATACATCTTTCAAGGTGAAATGTGCTCAGTAACAAAGCTTTATGATAGTTTTTGCAGTTCAGCCGTAGAATAATATAGTCTAACGCAACATCCGGAATCAGTGAAACGAAGACACCCCAGACGTTGCGCTAGGATAGAAAGAATGATACACTATATCTAAGATTTACCTTAGAAACCATGATAACAAACAGCAACAAAAAGTTACGTGGGGCTGTTGGTTCGTGATTGGATTGAAGCGCCGAAGGACAGGGAAAAAGTGAAGAAGGACACGACAACACAGGGCGCACTCGCAACAGAGATTATTAGAAAATACAGTGACTTAAATAGCTTGATCAAACCACGTCACTTCGAGCCACCGTATTCTATCTCTTTGTCTCTCTCTCAATCTTAAAATAACATTTCCTTATCTAACCTGGCCACAGACGGCTCACTGATATACTCAACGGCGGTCATTGTTTTTAGCACTGTCGGTACGCGAATTTGCCCAGTTGTTTTTTGGCTGTGCTGTCTCAGGATAATTGTGTTTAAGGTGCACGGGCATCGATCGCAATGCACTGACAAATGCCCAGACCGGGTCAGTTTGATAGCTGCTGCGTGTTCTCCCGCATGGCCATTTAAGCAGGAGCCTGCTGTTGCTTAAACAAGGGGCGCCTAAGTGCATCAGAGAGCCGTCTGTAGCCCCGTTAGATAAGAAAATTTTACTTTTAAGAGAAATATGGAGGGAGATAGAGAATTGAGTCGCTGGAAGTGACGTCTTTTTGTGAGGTACTTAGGTCAGTTTGTTTTCTAACACGCTTGCAGTTGAGAATGCTCTCCGTCTTGTTGTTACCTTCTTCACTTTGTTGTTATCGTTCGGCACTTCTGTCCAGACAAAACTGCGTTTTCCTTAACCTATTAATTCTCTAAAGCACGTCTACAAATATTTGATTTAATACAAAAGTAACGGCTTTTTAAAAATCTAGGTGGAGGAAGAAAACCTTCGAGTACTTTGAAAATATTGGAATCCCTGGACCTGAACCCAACATTATCTGCCGAAATCTTCTGGAATACCACCAAAACGTAAATCAACTTTCTTTAAAACCAATATCAAATAGTACTAGATACGCGAGATTGCCCCACGTTCAAATTATAATATAATAGTCCACAATTCAACTTAATACCTAACCCTGTAATAGCAGAACCTCTTTCAATGTTTAATGTATTTTTTTTTCTCTAGACGGAAGGATTCCCGCCTAGAAAAAGCGGAAGCTATATATTGTTCGCGTAACCAAAAAATAGATACCCAGCGCACAGGCAAGCTTGTGCGCTCGTACACTAGCTAAAGTGGTTGTGATTCGATCACGATGGGCATAGTTTAACCTTATCCAATATAATATTTCTTTTTTCTTATTTGCGGGGAACGATCAAATGTATGTTTTTCGGCCAGCAGGTACAGTAGACACAAAAACAATCATTTCTGCTGTCGAAACAACTTGATTTCAGTTCAAATTCTCTGAAATCATTTCGAAATTTTTAATAAGCTCCAGAAATTTGGCATATGCTTTCTTTCACTGAAGTTTGCTTTATGTCAAATCAAAGTGCTTGGAGCTGCGTGCGTTTGTTTTTATGTTTGTGAAAAGACGAGGCTTAACTTTTCCCCAAAGACTGAAGTTTCTTTGTTCAAATGAATTATTTCGGAATTCCAATGGCGATTTTTATTATACCGGCTGTGAATGGCTCTCTTTACTTCGCGTTCGTGGTGACCTTACCTCTGCTAATTTAGTCTTGCACATACAAAAAACATAAAGTATACTTGTTTTTTAATTCGCTCATCAAAAGAAGAAAAAGGAAGCATGAAAAAAAAGAAGCTGCGGAACAGCTTAAAAGGTCCCCGGCCCCGTGCAATGGCACACAGACAGCAGCTAAAAAATTAACATATTCTTCAATTGGTACACCGTACAATTCAATGAAATTCAATAATAGTACAAGATGCAGCTAAACCAAAGATGTGGTTTGACACATAATTTGTTCGCTTTACTGAACATTTTAACTGTTTTCTGCTTAGGGCAGACACAATGCTCTGCTGCGATTGCACGACAAATACGGCAAGGTGTTCAGGTAAGTGTCGTGATTTAAAACCACGGATGCAAACATCATATAGGCACTATTGTAAATTATAAAATCAGTTTACTCTTACGGTCTTTCTAGTTGATAATGTTAATATAATAATCATAAAAAAGTGATTTCTGGTTCTAAAATTTAAATATTTCATGATGTTTGTGTATGACTCAACGGTTTCTCAACTGCATTTATTATGTTCAATCTTCCCCAGCTCGTTTCTGTTTTTACTCTCTTACCCCAACCTTCTCGCAGTATTTTTTTTTTTTTAGGTTTTTGAATTTGTTCTAGATTTTACAGCGGAGCTGTGCCCACTCTCGTGGTCAACGACATTGATTTCTTGAATTACGTCTTTGTCTCGAACTTCAAAAACTTCATCGAGCATGGGCTGAGTAATGCTGCCTTTCGCTTCCACAGCGGTCCTTCGTCTTTTCTCCTCTCCCTCCTCAGTACCTAAGTTTAGTTGGATCAACTCGAAAGGCATCCACAATAGTTTGTGAGAGCATTTTGGTGCTCATTTTGAGAAGCAAAACGAGAAACGCTTTGTGAAAGCAAAATGAAATGTATTTTGAGAAAAAATATAATTCTTTTTTTTTTGTTGCAGAATTTAGTATTAACTTACGTAATCATTAGCAAAACCAGATGCTCGTCGCCGATTAGCAACTCTGAGCCCGTGTTCCCGACCCCATGTGTTACAAACTGGCACGTGGTCTATCACGCGAATGGGCGTTGCAAATCGACATCAGAATTGCAGCAAGCTTTTTAAATTCATTAGCATCGGCACCACAAGGGTGTTTCCCGTACCTGTTTTTGATAAACACAACCATAGCTTGTCAGCTCATCCATATCAGGACCAATCAGGACAAAGAGAAGCCACGCCCGGTTGGACTGAACGACATTAGTCAAACTTATTTAATCACAGCAGATGTATCCTTTGACGCGTTAGCGAAGCAGAAGAAAGCCAATATAAGGTGTTTTTAAAAGCACACCAGATTCGTTAAAAGAGAAAAGACGTGAGAGCTTCATTTATGCGGTTTCTGCAGGTGAGTAATACGGCTATGGGGACCTAGTATAGAAGGCTAAGGTAACGGTCAGTGGTCTAATAAAGTAAAAACTGTTATTTACATTTTTATATTAACAATAGACACATGATTCCAATTAAAAACCTGCCGAGCGTCACCGAAAACCACTAAATCAGTTATTCTTAGAATAAAACAATTGGGTGCGTGAGAAGCGCACTACTCCCCTAAAGTGGCCGCTAGTTCAGCAGGTGCAAGGCTACCCGTGCGATAACGAGCCCGCGTCATTTTCCGTCCTTATGTTAGCCACTGACCTTTTACCTGCTCCACGCGAGGAAAATTTAGCTGCCTCTAACGCTTTCAGTTGCTCAAAGCATTTTTAAAATGAATGATAGATTTTGATAACGCTCAGCAAGCTCCTAATTATGACCATGTATCTATTTTCACTTAATATAAAACTAATGAACGATTTTTATTTAATAAGCAGACTGATCGTCACCTTTCTTCTTCAATACTTTGTGCCCCTGGCCACACAGTTCACTCACAGAAACAGCATAAAAGTAGCTTTCACGGCTTTTTTAAAACAAATCTGTTAAGCTTAAGAAACTCATCCTGTGTAAATAAATGAATAAAGTAAGTATCGCACTTTAATTAATTAAGTTGCCTTTAAGTCTACAGTGCTAACCTAGGAGAAGGCAGTGGTAACTTTATTTCCTAATGTGAACGCAGAAAACATAGCGAGTGATATCTTATGAAACGAAGGCACTGGATTATTGTCGTCGGGATTTGTGATTTACTATTTGGGATTTTTTCAGGTTCATACTGCAATTTGATTGGCTCATGAAAATTATTGGGATATTCTGGAATCGCTACGCCCAGCGTCTCCTAAGTTGATGCTGCTTACAGAATAATCAAAGCTTATATACAACCTCATTTGCCTCCGCGTAACTTAATCACCTACGGATGTAGTAACATGAGACATCATGATGACGTTGAAATCATAGTGCAGGCGGGCTTCGATCATTCTAGGTCGTGTTGGCCCAAAATGTACAGACTTTCACCCAGACTTGTGCCTATCTCAAATACTCTACTCAAGATACTCTATCTTAAATACTTTTTGGAGTATCTTGGTATCTTGCAAATACCTTTGATAAAGAGTATTTAATACTCTATCTTAATTACAGTTCCGAGTATCTTGTACTCATTATCTTAAATACATTTTGACATTCCGCCATTTTCCAAGTTTTTCGGTATGAAGTGGGGTGGGCGTGGCACGAGGAAACGTGAGCATTCTTTCGAGCAACCGAATCCTGTTGTCAGCTCCGATTAGCTACGGTGACTTAGATTGAGCTCGTGAAAATATCGCTTTCTTGCCGACTGTGACTCATATTTCAGCCGAAAGTTTGTACAATGAAAGTTCTCCACTCGGCCTTCCCAAAGGCGCCTTTTGTTTTCCCCCCAAAAAATCCTCAAACCAAAGGTGTGGTTTTACGGAAGTAAAGATGCCATCCGGAAAAGTGAACACACACAAAAAAGTAGACATTCTTGTTTTGCTTTTTGTATATTTGACCCCGCTGGGGCAAAACGTCAAGGTTTTTTTTCTTCTTTGTGTTGTCAGTCCGACGCTTATTGCTCTCGCGAACACTCTCTGTAAAGGCCCTGTCACACTGAGGCAACAGTTGGACAACTCTATCCGGCAACACGGGAAAGTCGTGTTGCCGGAGACCCTGTCACATCAAGGCAACAACAACAGTCGGGCAACATGTTGCTGCCGCCCGGCAACCGCGTGTTGCCCGATTTGTTGTCCGACAACCCTGTCACACCGCGCTGACGGCGAGGACAACACGGGGAATACTCCGCCATCTTGATTGTTTACCTTCGTTCGTGTGCGGCGCGGAATCGCTGGAAATGTGACTCTACAAAGTGCTAGTGCGTTCGAAGGGCCGGGAATCACACGGTACGACATCAACCAGTGACTGTGATTAGAAAACTTGACACGGGGAGTATTTTACGCTCTTTATTTTATCAAGATGTTCTTCATTCGCTGACAAAGCAGATAGCCCTAACTGAGGAAAGTGACATCGCTGAGGTATGTTCGGGATTTACGCCACCGTATGAAGTGATTCTGTCCGGTTCTTACATGCAATTCCTATTTCTACTGTAAAATTGCGTTAGCACCGGCAGTACCCCAAAGCGTCTTTTGTAACGTGGTGTTGAGCTGAACTGACAGTGCTTCAAAACTGCGACACCGACACCATCGGCCTTCATAACAATCGGTGAAATAAATATTTTTCAACGCTGTCTACTGGCCTACCGCTGCTACGTGATCGCTTTATTCCCACAAAACGTCCTGGGTATTTTCAAAACAAATCAGGTGTCTGGTAGCGGCTGTTCCCAAGTTCCAAGCATCAACAATCACGATCAGAGTGGTCGTTTTATGCTTCGATTTTTTAATCTTAGGTTTTCTGGATTATTTTTATTATACTTTATTAGTGGGTGAGTAGGCATGCCATTTTATTTCACTTTCCGTAATGTGCGGTGGTCTCTCGGGAGTTCTAGTTTCAAAACCAGTCTGAACGTTCACGACCGTAGCTGTGACCATTTCGAAAATCGCTTTCCGTAACTACGCAGCAAAAACATTAATCGAAAATATTTTAGCTGCACGCCAGCCCTAATTATTGTTAAATAACGTTTTCCAAGCCTTTGTTTGAGTAAGACTTTATTGATAGGGGACTAACTCTACCATCGAAGCTATCTATGTTGTCGTGTTGCCGGCCCGAAATTCGCTCAGCCAGCGATCAGGGCAACACTCGTTGTCCAACACAAGTTGCTGCTGTTTTTGTTGCCGAAAGCTGTCATACCGAGGCAACATTTTAGTTGTCGTCCATGTTGTCGTGCAGTTACCGCGGTGTGACAGCTTTGTCGGACAACACGGGGAGCGAGCAACAAGTTGCCCGACTGTTGGACAACGTGTTGTGTTGCTGTTGCCGTCGTGTTGCCTCAGTGTGACAGGGCCTTAAGTGAACATTGATAACCAGAGAACAGGACAGGAAACGAACAGCGAGCAGGGTGACGTGCCGTGGCTATTATGTGGGTTCTCTTTGTTATCCATTCACTCATATCCGTGTCTGAAGTTCGTTTATAGTGAACTCCCCGTATAGGGAATATGGATTGTAGTTCAACGATGCGTCTAAGGTGCGCCGCCGGATGTGATATTCAGCAATGTCACTATCGGCCAGGCGCTCTATCCCGTTTGCTGTCCCCACACCTCAATGTTTAACGTCATGGACATTCCCACAGGCCTTGTGGGAACGTCATGGACATCCCCACAGGCCTTGTGGGAATGTCCATGACGTTAAGTGCCGGATCTGTCCCGAAAGCAGTCTTCAGAGGATGCGAGCTTGACCCACTTCGGCTTTTGTGCTTAGCTGAGGACCATGCATGCTGCGTCGTTCATGCAGGCCGGAATGGTAACAAAAGAGCCATTGTATTTATTGTCCTCATCTAGTTCTAAAGTTAACCGCTTGGGGCGCCACGGTCTGATCTCCTCCCCAATAGCTAAAGCGACCTCTTTCTTCTTGTCTCAGAAATGTTTTGTAACATCTATCAGTGATACTGCACCGCGCGTCGCCCAGCGAGCGCGTGCCCGGATGATTATCGCGCTTGGCTCTAGCCCGGAGGCGCCGGGTTCGATACCAGAAAGCGGACTTCTCTCTTATTTATTCCTTCAACTTGACACTCTGGTAAGTTCGAGAATTTTGTCGCCTGATTGAGTTACGAAAGTTCTACGTGCCGAACTTTCTACGGCGAATGTTCCAGAAACCCACGCGGGTACAAAAGGTGCTCCGAGGGGCGGTCCGGAGTCAGTCTCGCCCCAGCGGTCGATCCTGCCGTTTCGCTGACATCGACGCCTGCGACGCTAGCCTTTCTCTCTTTTGTTTTAGGAACCAGTTGGCCCCATTAAACGTTTAGCTTCTTCAG